CATGCTGCCTGCTTTCCCTGCTGTCATGTGACGCACTTAACTGACTCGCTCTGCATTTCTCTCGCTCTCTCCCTCTCTCTCTCCCATCCACTGCGCTTGTTTTCTCAGAAAGGACAGAGAGATGCAGGTGCAATGCAGACATCAGAGACATCAATATACGCTTCTCTGCAAACAATCCACAGTTCATAGAAAACTCATCAATACTTTATGATAGGTAACCTATATTGATGATTTAAAGAGAAATTTCACACAAAATTTAAAGTGATTGAAAACTTTTAGGCGTTTCTTTATGTTGTTAAATGCAAAGTAGATATTTTGAGGAAAGCTGGAAACTAGGCTGGGGCAATATGACAAACAATCCCATATCATGATTGAAGTCACTTCTTATGATACAGCTGAGGACAAAATTATTATCCATCCTGTGCAATATTTATTCTTTTCAAATTTTTCCCAAATGATGTTTAACAGAGCAAGGCATTTTTCACAGTGTTTCCTATACATTTTTTCTTCTGGAGAAAGTCTGATTTGTTTTATTTTGGCTAGAATAAAAGCAGTTTTTAATTTTTTAAAAAGCATTTTAAGTTTAATATTATTAGCCCCCTTTAAGTGTTTTAAACAAACCACCGTTATACAATGACCTGCCTACTTACTCTAACTTGCCTAGTCAACTTAATTAACCTAGTGAAGCCTTTAAATGTTACTTTAAGCTGAATACTAGTGTCTTGAAGAATATCTAGTCTAATATTATGTGCTGTCATCATGGCAAAGTAAAATAAATCAGTTATTAGAAACTATTATGATTAGAAATGTGTTGGAAAAACGATCTTAAGGTTGGGGTTCAATATATTGTTACGGTCACCAGCGATCCAGCCTGTGCAGATCGCTAACACACTACAAATCCGCCATTACACAAACTACATATCCAGTCCAGTGTTTCCTCTGGGATTTTTTCCAGCTGTGGTGGCAGACTCTGTTGGCCATTTTACACATATCTACCACTACATGTGGCGTTATTTCATTGACAAATGTCGTGGGCGCAGTATTAAGTCGAGATCGCATTCATGTAATAGCCTACGAGCATGTCAGTCTCTGCTTGAGCGCCGATTTCCTCTGTTCTTCTTGCGCCCTCAAAAATACGCTGCTCAAGTGCAGATTTTCTTGTGCGCCCTCAAATAAACGCGACTGAAGTGTGATTTGGTGTGTTTATGTAGCGAGTATGTCACCAACATTTATTAGATTTGCTAGGAATGTTTATGAATGTCTCCGCTAGACTAGCGGAGCGGGCCGCGGCATCAATGCGTCCTGAAGTAAAGCGAAACGGCTATAAACTCCAGCAAGATAAAGTCATTATATGCAGAGCCACAGACCTTTATCTATAAATAAAGTATAATTATGAAGACTGTGTTCATCATAACTGAAAGCTACGCCGTGGTTGCTGGCCTCACGCATCACTCACCTGTCAAGTCAGTCAGTCTGTCAGCACGTCACCTTAAAGGGTTAAACAGAACGCACAGCACTACTACAGTCACAGAAAAGTTTGCGCTGTTATTATTCACTTACCTTTTCATACGTTTTTTATGTGATTTTTAACCCGCTATTTAAAAAACGACAGAATATTTTAAATAAGAAGCTGTAATGTAGCCGTGGCGAGATGAATTTTGGTGTGGCGCCCCCCATGGAAGAATGAATGTAGCGGAAACCATGCAGTCATTCACCGCTCACACGCACCTGTTCCTCATTCTGTAGACTACACACACTCACGGCTGGGAGCTGCTCATGAACTGATTAGATCACAGGTGTCAAACTCAGTTCCAAAAGGGTCGCAGCTCTGCACAGTTTAGTTCCAACCCTAATAAAACACATCTGATTAAACTAATTGAGTCCTTCAGGCTTGTTTGAAACCTACAGATAAGTGTGTTGGAGCAGGGTTGGAACTAAACTGTGCAGGGCTTCGGCCCTTCAGGAACTGAGTTTGACACCCCTGGATTATATGGACTTTAAATACTGCGCACACACACACCTCTTGACTGAGTCTTGTTTATCGGTCAAGTTAACAAGTCCTGTCTTAACGAGTCCTGTCTCTGCGTTGCCAACCTTTATTTGTTTGTTTGTTTTTGTTTATGATGTAAGACCACTCGCCTGCTTATGGACCCTTCTTCTGGATTTGCCTGCATGTTACCGTTTGCTCCTGATTGTGATCATTACCTGCCTGACCATTCTCTTTATAATAAATCCTGCATTTGGATCTGCACTTCCTTGTCAGCGTCCCCTGCAGATATATATCGCTATTGTTGTGACCTCTAGGAGTTAAGCTGTTACGGAAATGGTTTTGGTTTTTGTGAGTGAAAATATGGATAAAATTAATCAATATCAATAACCAGAGACATATGGCAGAAGTGAAAGTATTTAATGGTTTTCTATGAGGAAATCTTCAGATAATAAACAAAACACTGGGAGGAAACCCACGCAAACGCAGGGAGAACATGCAAACTCCACACAGAAAAGCCAACTGACCCAGCCGAGGCTCGAACCAGCGACCTTCTTGCTGTGAGGAGACAGCACTACCTATTGCGCCACTGCGTCACCCTGGTCATTTTCCCTGTAATTTCAGGCTGTTGGATAATGCTTGTTTATTTATATACTGTAAAATAAGCCATCTATATTTTAAAATGCTGTACATGATGTTTAGTGCATGAATCATGATGGCTATAATGATCCAGAGCACGGTAGAAAAGGTTTGGACCTATTTGTGATATTGACCACTGGCCCAAATACCAACTGTGGGACTTTATGAAAGCTAAATGAGACACTGTCTGGGCCTCGACAAGCACACTGTTATGAGTCACTGGCCATTTACAGACCTAAAGTCAAGGGCTGTGAATGGAGGATGAACAGACCGTCTTCTTATGAGACATCATTCATTTTATGTGTGGAACAATACGTCTAGAAACCGACGTCTAGATGTAGATTTGTAATCCTGTATTGCAGATACGAGAGGTATAAAAACAGCTTTGTGTCAGCAGCAGTCGCTCAGTTGAGTCAGGATTTGTTTTTTTGGAAGATTTTTAAAATTTTATTATGATATTCCTAACGTCATTTGTTCATTAATTATCTTTATGTTTTTAGTCCATGCTGGTGTTTAGCGATGGAAACTATAATGTTAATTGTTTTCTTTTCTTTTTTTTTCAAAGGTAAATGTTATATATATATATATATATATATATATATATATATATATATATTAGGGGTGTCACGATTTCGATTTTTAATCAAAATCGATCGAAATTTATGCTCAATTTCAATTATCGAATCAAAAAATAGAATTGTCGGTGCTGCAACGCCCCCATGTCACGTCAGCTTGGCCTGCCAAGCAGGAAAAAACCAGGCTTGTTGAAGTGCTTGTTAAACTGCAGAAGCAGGAGACCCGTCGACAGAACTTAAACCCTCTCCTCTTTCAATGAAGTCGCCAGTGTGTAAGCATTTTTGATTTCCAGTGAGTTATGTTGACAACGTTCGAGTTGTCAACAAAAAAACACAGTTTTGCAAGCTCTGCTATGTACGTATTACGTCCGGTTCGTCTGATAGACAACACCGGCATCGCAATCCTCCGCCCCCGTTGAAAATTCACTCGCGAAAAGTTCACACTCAGGCCCTGTTTACACCGTCTTTGTTTTTAAATGGCATTTTAGAACGACAACGATTTGACATCCACAGTGGCGTGTGGCATTTCTGAGCAGCCCTCCTTCCTCTCTGCCTCTGAAAATGCACATCACGTGAACACACAGACACAGACGCACACACAGCCATGCGCTCGAGACAGCAGGTCCAGGCAGTCAGAGGACTGCTTCAATCTTTCTCTCACTTGTACTTAGTCATTTTAGCGAACACCTCAGATACTGTTGGCTGGTTCCTGTTGGTTGTGCGTCTTTTTTACCGACGCCATTATAACGACACAGATCACTGCCTATTCACGAGTCCCGCAGAAAAAGTGATTGACAGGTGGTAATTATGTGTGTATCTTGCCTTTATTCATTTACTGTATGATTTGTTTATGGGTAAAACAAAGACCATGCAGGTCAGGTAGTTTAAACGGTAGGGTACTAATAATTAATTCGTCAGTAATTAATTAATTATTCATAATCGAAAATCGAATCGAGGATTTGGAGGATCGTGACACCCTTTATATATATATATATATATATATATATATATATATATATATATATATATATATATATATATATATATATATATATATATACATATTTTTTTTACTTTTATTTCTACTTATTTATTTATTTGTTATATTTATTATTTATTTTATATATTGTATTTGTAGTTGTATTTTATTTGTGAGTAAATATTTGTGGTTTCCTTAAAAAAATATGAAACACCTACTTTACCTATGGGTATAAATAAGTGAACCTGTACCTGAACCTGATAATGTTACAGTAACCAGTGATCTAGCTGGTGCGGGTCGCTAGAGAACTACAACTCTGCCACCAAATGGACTACAAATCACAGCATGCACCGCACACACACACCAGCTCCTGATCCCATCTGATTGCAAACACTCACAGCTGAAGCTGCTCACGGACTCTTTACACAGACTATTCATACACCATATTTGCTAACACACATTGCTGAGTGTTGTTTGTTTTGCTAGTTAAAACGAACCTGTAACTTTACATTTAATTTTATGTAGCATTTTCATTTCCTTGCCTAGCCGTGTTTTCTGATTCTTGTGTTTCATGTTATCTACTCCCAGCCTTGTTCCTAGTTTATCTTTCCTTTCTCAGATTTTGACTACTTGCCTGTTTATCGACACGACTTCTGGATTATCTTTATGTACCTGATTGCTCCTGTTGAATATTGTCTGATTTTCTATCATTGTAATTAGTCTACATTTGGATTCGCACCTTTGTGACAGCCTCCTTCACTTATGGATATATTCTCTGTGTATAGTCTGTTTTGACTTTGTCTTTTGTTATTTCCCACAGGTGCATCCCAGGAGACACCGTCTGCTGCTGGAGGTGTTTGATGAAAATCGTTTGGTATGTACACAATCAGTGGTTTATTCTCATGTCGCTCAAATAAATTAGAAAAGTTTCTTCACTATTTCAACTATTCAAATGTTCAGTGAGTAGCACTGTCACCTCAAAGCAAGAAGGTCGCTGGTTCGAGTTCCGGCTGGGCCAGTTGGCATTTCTGTGTGGAGTTTGCATGTTGGCGTGGGTTTCCTCCAGGTGCTCTGCATGCACTATTGGGGAATTAGGTAAACTAAATTGGTCGTAGTGTATGAGTGTGTTTGTGAATGAGTGTGTATGGGTGTTTCCCAGTACTGGGTTGCAGCTGGAAGGGCATCTGCTGCATAAAACGTAGTTGGCAGTTCATTCCGCTGTGGTGACCACTGATAAATAAGGGCCTAAGCCGAAGGAAAATTAATAATTGAATAATTATTTTATGGTCACTAAGGGGTCAATGACATCGTGTGTTTTTCAGTTTTGACTTTAGAAAAGAGCAGTGCACTGCACTTTTTATGTTGCTAGGCAACCATTTATTATCAGTGTTCTTGGTGCTGGTGCACATGACATTGGGGGCTTTTTCCGCACAGAGTTGACTTTTTTATAACTGCAGGCGCACAGTATGCTCCATCAAAAATGAAAAGCACTGCAGGCAGGTAGAAGGCGAGGTGCCCAAGGCACATAAACAGTGTGCAAAATGCTTGCTGACAATAGAAAATCATTTTAAAATGTGCCGCTCACTGCAAAATACATGTTCTGTTCATTCTGGGCCTAAGACTGTATTTACTTGATGGAAAAAAATGACATTGGAAGTTTTTAGGTTATTAAGAAGATACATTTTTATGTCCTAGTTAAAAGTGTTTATGAGTTAGTCTTTATTCATTTCTCGAATGCACAAGCCTGTTACACATAATACACAAAAACACATTGAAGAATATAAATATACCCTAAATTAAAAAAAATTACAGCTGAAGGAGGACTGGGAGAATTCCTGGTGGGCCGGTCCGTTTTTTGGCCGCGAGGGCCGGTGTCCCTTAATGCTTGCACTCTCAGCAGTCGCACTTTTTTCATGTATGTATTGGTTTGACCATAGCCTCACTCGTTTTATTCATTATTTTGCCGCAGCTCTGCTCTTTTTATTTATTTTCTCGCATCCCCGTGAGCAGAATGCACCCTGCAGGTTAATGATAATGTAACTATCATTCGACCCCAAACAGCGGCACCTTAGAGAATAAAAGAATTCGAATAGTTAATATTACATTAGGGCATCAATAGGAAGTGATACTGCAATGTTGTGGTCCAGTGGTCAACACGTTGCATTACGATGCCGTCAACCCCGGTTCGAACCTCACCTGAGTACTTATTTGTTTATTTATTTTTTTCATGTTTATTGTTAAGACATATAATACTGTTAGGGTTGTTGAACACTTGAAGTTCTAAATCAGCTGTTTTCTTAAAAAATACGTAATAGAAACTAAATTGGAAATTATGTTATTCTAATATAGTCAGTCGTGAACTGAGGCGGGCCGGTCTAAGGCTTGAAACTCCAAGGCTGAAAATAAGTCCCGCTTCGGCCCTGGCTGAGGGACATAAAAATTTCATATCAGTTTGGTCCCACTTCATATTAAGTGTCCTTAACTACTATGTACTTGCATCAAAAAATAAATACAATGTACTTACTGTGCTTATAATGTATTTGAGAACACTTGTGGTGCTTTTGAGTTGGGATAGAGGTTGGGTTCTGGACAGGTTTGGTGGTGTGGGTAGGTTTAAGGGTGAGTTAAGGTGTAAGGGATGGTCAACAGTGTATTTACAAATGTAATTAGAAAAGTTAATTACAGATGTAATTACATATATGTATTTAAGCAAGCATAAGTACACAGTAAATACATGTATTTAGACAATAAGTACATTGTAACAAACTATTAATTCCACTTAATATAAAGTGGAATTAATTAAGGCCACTTAATATAAAGTGGGACCAAAAGTTTGAACAGATTTTTTTTACTAATAGGAGTTCTGTATCGAATACCAGAAGGAAGAAAATAAAACTTGTGGTGCACAGGATGGCAATTATCTGACAGAATACTGCCCAAAACTTGCCAATGGTATAACTGAGCCATAGTTATCTGTTTTCTCCTTGTTAATTTTCCTCCTAGGTTCACAATTCTCACCAAACAGCTCTTATTTTTCACACCAACAAAGCAAAGAAAAAGATAACAGTGACTGAATGTAGGAACTGTAAAACATTCTGATCATGTTGATGCAGAGCTGAAGTCAGAATTATTAGCCCTCTTAGAATTTATTTTCTTTTTAAATATTTCCCAAATGATGTTTAACAGAGCAAGGAAATTTTCACAGTATGTCTGATAATATTTTTTCTCCTGAAGAAAGTCTTATTTGTTTTATTTCGGCTGGAATAAAAGCAGTTTTTTTTTTAAACACCATTTTAAGGTCAAAATTATTAGCCCCTTTAAGCTGTTTTTTTTTCCGATAGTTTACAGAACAAACCATCGTTATACAATAACTTGCCTAATTACCCTAACCTGCCTAGTTTACCCTAATTAACCTAGTTAAGCCTTTAAATGTCACTGTAAACTGTATAGAAGTGTCTTGAAGAATATCTAGTCTAATAGTATTTACTGTCATCATGGCAAAGAGAAAATAAATCAGTTATTAGAGATGAGTTATTAACACTATTATGATTAGAAATGTGCTGAAAAAATCTGCTCTCCATTAAAAAGAAACTGGGGAAAAAAAATAAACAGGGGAGCTAATAATTCAGAGGGGCTAATAAATCTGGCTTCAACTGTATATTGAATGTTCCTAATTTCTGCTAGCACTACAATCTCTGCTGCCTCTTCTTACACAAAATATTAGTATTTACGGAAACTGACAATTTCTGATCTAAAACAGTACCCAAATACTTGTACTGATCAACACTCTCAACACCCACTCCATTAATACTTGTGTGATTACCCTTAATCAATCTCCTCTCTTATTAATTAAATTCAGTAGCCATCTCTTTAGTCCATTTCAGTTTGAAATGTAGGTCTTTAGTATTAAATTCAAGTTTAAACACATGTTTAGTTTGTTAAACTCATTATTTGTCAAATTTGTTAGTGAAGTAACGAGTATATTGGTTAAATATGTTGAGTATAATTTCATTAGATAATACAAATAATAGTTGCAGTCTGTTTCTTTCTTTGAGTTGCTAAAATAGTAATTAGTTTGGCTTTGTTTTTAATCATTTTCAGCTTGGTGATGAATTGAATTGAATTTATTGAATGGGATAGCCCCTTGAGATGAATCATCTCATTTTTGAGGGGGTCCCTAAAAGGTTTATAAATCAAACAAAGTACAACACATCATAACGTACATACACTTAACAAGACAAACAAACAATCAAACAAGCAGCACACTCCACCTGAAACACTTCCCGCAATCTGAAGCCTAAATAAACAAAAACATGTTATCAAATGTACAAACAATTTGGTGTACAAATAAATCATAAACATTTAATTTGGAGCCAATATTAATAACATTCGCAAGTTCGTTCGTTCATTTTCTTGTCGGCTTAGTCCCTTTATTAATCCGGGGTCGCCACAGCGGAATGAACCACCAACTTATCCAGCAAGTTTTTACGCAGTGGATGCCCTTCCGCGAGCAACCCATCTCTGGGAAACATCCACACACACATTCACAAACACACTCATACACTACAGCCAATTTTGTTTACCCAATTCCCCAATAGCGCATGTGTTTGGACTGTGGGGGAAACCGAAGCACCCGGAGGAAACCCACGCGAACGCAGGGAGAACATGCAAACTCCACACATTCGCAAGTTGTTTCCAAAAAAGAAAATAAATTAGCCCTGAAAAGTGATTTAATTGATCTAAAAAAGGAAGGGAGATTGTTCCAGTCGGAAGGAGCTTTGTAAGGACCTACGGCCACTTTCTGTAGAAATTCTGGAAACAAAAAAATTATTCTGTTGCATATGACGAAGCAATTATGATGAGGTAAATAAAACAAAAAACTGCTTAAAGTAAGACAGGAAACTAAAGTAAACACATTTAAAAAGAAACAAATACCAATGATACTGTCTGCGGAACTTAGGTTGAAGCAAACCAAGTGTTTCGTATAATATACAATGATGGGTTCTATAAAGACGTCTTAAAACAAATCGACACAGAGAATTAAAGACAGTATTTAAAGGTTTTAAATTAATATCAGAGGTATTGTTATAAATAATATCAGCATAATCAATAATAGGAGAAATTCATTGAGAGATACATTTTTTTGTTACTTTAAATGAAAAACAATTAATAGAACGATAAAAAGAACCTAAACACTGATATGACTTTTTAATTATAAAATCAGTATGGGGTTTAAAGGACAGTTCAGTAACAAGCCAAAGGCCTAGATCAGGGGTGTCAAACTCATTTTAGGTCAGGGGTCAAATATGATCGCTAGTGGACCGGAGGGAGGGGGGTGGGGGTGGGGGGGTACCACGCCTCCTTTTTCAAATGGTACATTTTCATACGACTGAACTCATAAAAAATAGCCACTAAACTGACAAAAACGTAAAATAGTTACATTTCCAAGTGAAATCACCTCAGTGTGCAGGGCTTCCCACAGGTTTGAAATATACTTGCGGTGGTAGCCTGAAAAAACCTTTTACCCACTGCACATAAATGGTCAACATGCAACAAACAAAAAAATGATGTGGTTTTTAACTTGATTTTTATTTGTTATGACACTGTTATACACCTTTTCTTTTCAATGGTAAAGGGTGCTCTGCGCTCTCTCTCTCTCTCTCTCTCTCTCTCTCTCTCTCTCTCTCTCTCTAAAGTTGCTATATTGAAATGACATTTACAGTATTGTCAAAACATTTTAGATATGTATAAAGTATGCAATATACTAGCATAACAGAATTAATAAAATATGCAGCAAATGAGAAATAAATATAAGAAAAAATGAATTAAAATAGACATTATTGCAAAAAATTATAATAATTACTAGAATAAAAA